ACTGCCTTTTGCAATTGTTATTATTTTACCCCACCTACACACACACACACACACACACACACACACAGAGTCAGCTCAAGGTGGCAAACCTTGATACTCCTTGATACTTAATACTCCTCCCTCCTATTTTTTCCCCCACAACCACAACCTTGTGAGGTGGGTTGGGCTGAGAGAGTGACTGGCCCAGAGTCACCCAGCTGGCTTTCATGTCTCAGGGAGGCCTAGAACTCAGAGTCTCCTGCTTTCTAGGTTGGCACCTTAACCATTAAAATTTTAATATATGTATTGGTATAAGGCTCCTTTGAGTGCTTATATAAGCAGAAAGGTATATATAACAAGATTATTTATAAGCAGAAAGGCAGGTATAAATATAATCATCACTTTCTTGAAGGGCTTGCTGGGCAAGAAAAACACTGAGCGGGAAACCCCTACATCAAGTGTACAGAAATAAAGGATGTATTTGCACACACACATTGACAGAGAAATGAACATTGTTTCCGGACTTTTTAGCTAAGATTGAGTGTAGTGAGTGTTGAACAAAAAGAAAGAAAGAGGATTGCAAACGGACCCTGCAGTTGTCATGCTGTTGGCTGCCAAAACCACGTGGCTTTGCCGGGCCTTCTTACGTTTGCTGTTATGAGCTGCGAATTCATGCTCAAATACTAAGTACAGTGGATATCGTTCTGCTTTTCACATGCCTACTAAGATGGCACCTGCCAAGCATCTGGGTGAGGACACTGAGAAACTCTGTTGATTGACTGGTTTTAGTGATGCTTTTTTCTGTTTTAACTTTTACAACTCTGGGTATTCGTTATCTGGATTACTGGTTTAATTTTACTGTTTGATTTTAATTCTTGTACATCTTTAATTCTTACCCATCTCATAGCAATGACCCTGGGCAGTGTACAAGAATTAAAACTTTGTACACTGCCCAGGGTCATCGCTATGAGATGGGCAGTCATATCTATCATATAAATAAATAAATAAGGAGGAAAACAAGCAAGCAAGCTCTGATTTTTTGCCATAAGAACAAGGTGGAGCAAGCGTTCATCTTACACAATCCCATCAACCCAGCAAGACCATGAGAAAGTCAAAAGATTGTCCTTTTACTTTCAATTAACTATATTTTGTATACTGTTTGCACAATGGCTGGTTTGAATAAGTTAGTTTCATAACTCCTTTCCTTTATACTATATAAGCAACTTATACTGTCCTGTGGAATCACCCAATCATTGTTGTGCCAAAATGATAGTAATGAGGACATGGATTACATCACTGCAGGAAGGGTTGATGGTGCTATGAAGATACTATAATTCACTAGTGAGGAGATGAACACTAGGCAAGAAAAGTTTCTTTCAAATAAATTATGAGGTCAAATGGCAAATCATGATTAATTCAAACCAAAAGTGAACATTTCTGAAATCTTCTTAAATGAAGAGGAAGGGAAACTGCAAAGTCTTTATGGATCATTCTCATTAAGTTAAATGTTGGTTTAATGTGACTTCAGAATATGGCATATGCATACGATCTAGTACTCCTTCCAACTATAATAATAAAAAAGTTTTTCTGTTCATCTTCACATGATTTCTCACATCACAGCTCAGAGAAAATTAATGGTAGCTGAGCCACAGAGTTAAAAGAGTGATGAGGTGCATTTACTGCTAATCTATACTACTTCTAAGAGAATGGCTAATCACAATGAATGTTTCCCATTTAAAAAAAAAACAGAACTACATTCTGCTTATAGAAAATTACCATGTCAGAGATAAGGGTTCTAGCTTAAATTTCCTGATATGCTAGATTTCCACATAAAGGAAGTACTTACATTGGGTAAATGTTCACTATGGCCTGAAAGGCAGACTAAAAATCCATAAAACAGTCCTCCAAGGGCTATAATCTGTAACCACACATTATAGCCCTTGGAGAACAGTTGTATAGATTTTTCTCATCCACCATGAGAAATTTTCAACATTTCAGAACAAAATGCTTTCTTCACCTTTTCTCTGCATACAGATGTGCTCTAGTATGAATGTTGTATTTATTATCTTAATAGAAGGATTTTTTTCTACTCAGGAGTCACTGCGGCAGCTGAAGCTGCTGAATCATGGCCACAGTGCATGCAAAACGTATTACCGGCTGCCTGCTGTGCCAGCTGTCTCAAGGCAGAGACCGCCAGAGCCATCAAATCATTCCAGCGGCAGAACAACTGTACTAGATGCTACCATCTGCAGATATTATAATTGGGCATCTGAAAGTTGCTTTCTAGCTCCACCAGCATTACTTTTGATTCTGTAGGGCTCAATTAGAATAGCTCAATTCTTTGTTTTGTCATTTGATTCATATGTATAAATCAAAAAGAAATTCAGTGCTTCAGGTGAAAACAGGGTCTTGAACACAAAGAGGCTGTTTAATGTACTGAATACCTATTCTCTGTCCTAAAAACATTTGCATATTTCTGTCTTCATCATTTTGTGCTAAGTCACAAAATGAGCATATTCAAGTAACATGTAAACTCCCTAAGGGTTAATGCAGAAAGCAGTAAAAAGGGAAAAATTATCTACAAATACTTTAGACAGCTCACAGGTGCAAGTGCACTCACATCTGTGGCCATCTGCTATTGGGGGGAGTCTGCCCACCGCAACAAGAAAGACCTTGTAAGTTTAAGGAAGGCCTGAAACTTTGATGTGTGCATTAATAGCAAGAAACTTGTGTGCTATTTCTGCCATTCCCAAAGCCTAGAGAGAAACCCAGTAAAATCAGTAGCCAATGGGAAAAAAAAAATAGATAGGTTGGTTCAAGTGTCCATAGGTGAGCTGTAGGGGTCCAGGTTATCTGCAGAATGTGAACTCCCTTATGAACTTCAAGGCTTGTGGGGATAGTGGTTAGAAGTTCTGTTCTTGTGGCAATGACTTTGAAATATATAGCTCTGCAAAAAGGGAGTGGACAGTGCAAGTTGTCCCCACTGTATTGAGGAAACAATACAATTTTATCCAATCCCATGAAACATGGGGCTCTCAAGGAGTATGAGTGGATCAAATGCTCTAGCTAAATGGGATTGGGAGCAACAGACCCAAATGAAGAGTACTGAAGGCTTCTGAAAGACCAGATACCTGCAAAATTCGATGCTCTCTTCTTTATGAATGGCTACTTCAGAATGTAGAATATTAACAACACTTCCCTCCCTTCTTGAATTCCTGGGTAGAGCAGTGACCACCACAGAACTGCAGACCTCTGGCATTAATGTAATTAAAAACAAACTAAAAAATCTTTAACAATATCAGAAGGAAATCTTGTTCCTAAGCTCTGTGTGAAACAGATCCTCAGCCCCGTCTCCTTTTTAAAAATTCTTTCAGCTTCCCACTTCTTCCTTAATATCTGTTAGGTTTTTCCTTTTATCCTTCTGTTTCATTGCATGCAATGTCCTGCCTCTGGGACCTTTTTTCCACTTAATTCAACCTGTTTCTCCCTTTTTTTAAGAACGCAAAGGTAATGTCAACCAGCATGCTTAGGAAACGTAGAGTTGACAGCAAAGAACTGAAGGTGGTAGATAGCTTTGTTTCCTTGGGCCCAAGGGAACAGATAAAGACGGGCAATGTGCTGGAGAAGTAAGGTGAAGATTAATTCTAAGAAGGAAAGCAATGAAAAACTTAGACAAGACTTATTTATTTATTTAGCTTATGGACTCTTCAACAACAACAGCTTAAAGCACTGGTCTTTTCAGTGATAAAGTATGGCTCTGAAAGCTGGACACGGAGAGAAAAAGACAGACATCTTCAATTTATGGATCTGGAGATTGTTTCTGAGAGTACTATAGACAGCAAGAAAAATGGTCAATCAGTCCTGAATTAAATAAAGGCTGATTGTTCCCTGGAGGTGATGATCAGCAAGAAGTTTACATACTTCAGGCATCTGATGGATGGATGATGAACTAGAAAAGAATAAGTTTGTTGGCAAGATTGAGGGAAGATTAAAAAACACCAGATTACGAGGGCTAGATGGGATCACAGAGATAAACAGAATGTCCTTGGAGGAAATACGAGTTAATGCTGGGGCAGGTTGAGATGGCTGCATTTATCCTTGTACTTACCAGGAGCTGAGCCCATCTTGATGGCACCTAACTTCAGTCAAAACATACAGAACTTTCTCTCATCCCCCACTGCTGCAGCTTTTTCTGTTATTTTCTTTCTTCATCTTTTTAGTTCTTTCCCAATCTTCTCTACCCACATATTCTATGTCCTCCATCTTCATCCATTGCTATGACCTTTTTGCTACTGGGACTCACTTCCCGTTCTGTTTCTAAACAGAGTTTTCCTGCCTGCCCTTCAGCCTTAAATCAATTTCCAACTTCCTGCTCCAGTTCTGTATGAGGTTTCCATAACCATTCCCCCACTCTCTCTTTTTGACAACAATTACTGTCAATATGCTACTGCTACAGTGACCAGATTACATATATATATTGTTATATATGTAAAATTATAGGTGGGTAACTTTATGACTCACACATACAAATTATGCTTTATAAAAGCTTGCTAAGAATAGAGAAAAACACTAAGTCTGTAGTTCTGATCAAAGAGAAAACACACAAATTGATATTATTTGGATAAAATAATTTGCCGCTAATTGCCCTGTATGAAGGATACCTGAAGAGATGCGGGGGGCAGGCTATAACCATACCAGAAGGCTCCTTTGCTGGACCACCAATTACTACCAACTGCTCTGTGGAAAGATCCTAAAAATTTCTTTTTAGGTTTAAAATAATATTTTTTTGTATTTTCATTTACAACTGTTTTTATCGCTTAAAAGCTGCTTTGAGAGAATTATTATAAATACTTTCAGTAACGAAATGGTTAACCTGAGTAAAGTTGATTCTATGGGAATCACTTGGGTTCAGACAACTTGAAAAGAATGGCATGGCTGAATCCTCCTTACCGGACACAAAGAGATGCTCTGCTCCCACTGACTCATGCTCAAGCTTTCTTCCAATGGTGTGCATTTCCTTAGCACCAAGTCCCAGCCACAGTAAGGATCCTGAGATCCAACGCACGTGCTGAAAATACAGATCTAAAATATCAGACTGCAGCACAGAAATTCTCACATTTTCCTTCATAGGAAAGGACCAACATTCCTTAATATGCCTACCACGTAGGACAAGCCTACCTGTAAAGACCTACCACGTAGGACAAGCCGCCTGAATATGGAAGCAGATAATTCTTTCTTTTCCCCAGCCCTATTTATTTTACACCCTACTAACGTTGAGACTACCACTGTCTAGGCAAAGCAAGAGGTAGGGCCTATCCCCCTCTTTTTTATTTTTTAAAATCTAGCCCTAACTTTTCTTTAAAAAAAAAAAAAATTATTAAGAAATATAAATGAAAAGATTAAAAGTCAATACAAACTACAAAAAATACAAACAGACAAAAATACAACTGAAAAAGAAGGGGGAGTATGAATCAGAAAAGAAAAGGAAAGAAGGAAAAACAAAATAACTTCCCCCTTTATCCTAGCAAGTAGAAACAATTTTAATAGCTTTTCATCATCTCTAATTACAACATAATCTCTCTTCTCCCCATAGCTCATCTCTTAGGTAAAAAAACCAAAATCCAATCAATTGTTGTCAATTTGTCAATCGTTCATTGTCAGTAAAAGTCCAGTAAGGGCAACCAGATATAACTATCTTCTTCTTTTAACCCTGATCAAATAAGCCAACCTTGTATTCCTTCCCTGAGTTTTAAAAAATATTTTTAACCCCTTCAAAAAGAGTCCCAGAGATTATTTGCTGATCAGTGTTTCAAGGCAAAAATCTTTCTGAACCTGAACACATTTTGTTCATATATCCAATAAGTAGAGTTTTGTTTGCCATTTCTAATAAAGTCCTTCAAAACCTTAACAGAGCTCTTTTCCAATAAATAATTAAATATCTATCTATCTATCTATCTATCTATCTATCTATCTATCTATCTATCTATCTATCTATCTATCTCCAAATCTGTTTCCTGGTTTAATATCTATACAACTCCTTTAGGGAATTGGTCATCCATCAGATCCATTTGTGTTACATTTAAGTCAATTTCATAAATACCCATTGCAATTTGTTCTTGTTCTATATCTTCATTACAACACGCTCTGTCCAACCTGTCAATCAATTGATCCATTCTAAGAAGACATTTAGCAGAAAAGTATTCAAAAATATGCAGTATAGATTTCTGCTTCAATTTCTTTATCTGCTCCATATTCTTTATCCTCTACCTCCCTCTAGTGTCCAACCTTCAAGGTCTCCTTATTTTAAAGAGCCAAAGTGATCGCCATTTTCCCATGAGAAATTATCTTCTAATTAATTCAAAGCTATAATTCCAAATCCCTCTGGCCCCTTAATCCATTGTTAACTTTCCAAAATCCATATACTAAGCACTCTTTTGCTGCGTAGTTCAAAAATTTTTCAAAGCTTTTAAAATCACCATCATTCTCTAAGGAGGAGACTTGCCCGATGAATATAGTAAAACCTTGCCGATCCGAAGAGTCTTAATCTCTCCAGTAAACAAAAAGAAATAATAATAAAAAAGTGATTAAGAAATGAGACTCATTCGAGCTGAATGTCCATAAAAGGCTGCTCTGCAAGTGTGAGCTTGATGAAATCCCGTCTCCCAGCCACTCCACTCATAAGCAAGCGGCAAGATGACAGTTTCTGTGAACTACTCACAAGTAGTGGCTGTAAGGGGTCACATGGGTAATCTCAACGATCTCTCCTTCTCTGGAGAGATTTTGTGGGTCCTGATGCAGCATTCAGCTGTGACTATGCTCGCAAACACTGTTCTGCCACAGGCAGGATATCAGCTCGCCATGGCTCCCACCGAAGTGTCAAATCTGGCTCTAACTCTTCAAATACTTCTTCAGGACCCTGAACAGAAGGTAGCTCTTTTTTCATCCTAAGTGTTGAGTTTTCCTACTGATAATTTTAGTTTGCTAGCGCTAATAATAACTTTCTGGAAATGTTCTACTTTGTCTAAGATGGAAAATTACTTTAGGTAAGAGAGTTATGAGGCTGCAAGGTTTAATTGAAAGATTAATCAACTGAATCTGATTCATTCGGGGTGGTGTTGGCATCTAACATATTGGGAGACTATTTTTATGGCAATGGGAATAACAATGATATACCCTTCTTGCAACTAATGTCTTCCCTCCATTAAACTGAAAATTGTTCTACTTCAGATACTGACTTAATAAAAATAGTTTAAAATTAGATAACATTGTAATTCTACTTTACTCATCTTTCTACACAGATCTTTCAAGGTCAGCTAATCAGACAGATACCCGTGTGTTTTGTAGAACTGGCATCTCTTCAGTGGGATCTTCACCACACTTTTCTGAAGGCCCACATACAGAGCACTCTGACTGTGTAAAATCTGCAGGCTCTTGATGGGCTCCCACTGCTTCTTTGGGAAGATGTGAATTTCCTCTAGCAAGCAACTGCTCGCTGTCTGATTAACTGGGGCAAGGATTTTCTTAATTGTCCCATGATCTGTAAAATAAGAAATAAGTCAAATCAAACAAACAGAGCTTATTGATACGTTATTCTCACAATTTCTTTCACATACATTCCAGCAGAAAGAGAAGAAAGAAAACTGTCTTAAGGAAGTGAGGTGGAAGCTAAATATTGCTATCCTTTGAAGCTCAAAAAAATACAGCTGCCTTATATCATTGATCCAGCCTGCCTTTCTGTTATAGCTGGAAGCTGTATTTCAACAGTTCAAGGTTGTGCAAGATTCTTTTTCAATCCACCTGCTATACCTCCTTTTGACTGAAACACAGTAGTGGAGGCTGAGCTTTCTGAATGCAAACTGATTCCTCCCAAACAGTTTCCTACTCTGCAGGGCTGTGGCAGACAGGAAGAGGACAGCAGATTAGAAATTCAGTATGAGCCATCCAGGCTAGCAGAACTTTTCTCAGCCTGGTGCTTTCCAGAGGTACTGATCAACAATCTCCACCTTAGGAGAAAGATGCTACAGTTCAACACACCTGGGGGACATCAGGTCCAAGAAAGTTGTCTAGCAATTTAAGATTGTAGCTTCATATTTGGAAGATACGGATAATAACATTAGGTTTATCAGAAGACTACTTAAAGAAAAGGATGGTAAACCAGGATACCTGCCCATTTCTTGAAAACGACGGTCAAAAATGATAATTTTTAAAGCCACATTCCCTTTTCTTGCCTCAGGTATTCCTAACGGTTCCCTGCTCTAAGCATATTTATTCAACTTGTTGCACGGGTACCCAAATGTTACTGATAATAGGCACATATAAATAGGACTACGATTAAATCAGACTGGCCCATCTGCCCAGCCTTGCCCTGTTGCTTGCTCCTTAGATAAATAGTTAGAAGCAGAATCATTCCAAGGCACTAGAGTTTCACATGCATTCTAGCATATATGGCAATTACATTCTTTTTGTGCTGTTGACACTTGGGCTAAAAAGGGTACTGTAGGTCATCACTCTTGTGAAAAGTTCTCTTGCTCAGACAACCATGTTTCCTTCAAACAAAAAAATGGCACAAGCACAACATCCATGTAGAAAGGGATTCCCGTTACATTCATAACAACAGTACAGTTTGCTAACCGGCACTTATCCAACCAATATAACAAGGAACAGGAGGTCCGTGCACATCTCCTACCCGGCCCATGCTTATCAGTGAAGACTAGCAAGTGGTGGATGAAGTGTACCAGGGAAATAATTCAGCATATAATTTGTAAGTGTGTGCAGAGGAACTCTCCTACAAAGAGTCCTGTTCTGTCACTCCCTGTCCGTATTGTACGTGGGAGCATACCTGACCTTAAAGCAGAATACATTCTGTTCATGCCTACATTATCTACTTCCTTTCTGTTTCTGTGATAGTCTTCCTACATCATATGCTTTCCAGACCTTGAAGGCATTCTGTTACAAAAATCTTACAATTTATTGTTTTGCACATGTTCTCCCCCAAAAGCTATACTTGGACAATCACAAAGAAGTTATAATTTATTATCTTATAATTCACAATTCACAATCCTCAAATGTAATACTCTGAAGATTAATATTTTGTCAAGAAATTAATATAACAGACAAAAATAAAATCAGCTTGAAAAGCTGTGTTCCAGAGCAAGGAATACTAGCTGCAGTCATGAACAGCTACAAAATCAGCACAGCCTATCTGAAAGCAGAACAGGGTGCATGGTAAACATATATGTGCTGGATTCTGACCTTTATTATCTCCTGCTATACTTTTATTGTCACATTAAGTTGATATACAAACTGTACAGGCAATAATAAAGCAAAATAGTTTCCATACAAGCAGGTCAAAATGATCAAGTATTTTCTTGTTGATATGTCCTGAATTTTACATTAGGCTAAGTCTGAAATGTTAGCCTTCACAGATCAGAAGGAATAAAGGTTGGAGATTTCCAGTTCTGAAGATCTTTTTTTTTTTTTTTTAAATTTAAGCGGTGCTATTTATCAATTTATAGCAGAACTTTTAGTACAGCCTCATCTCACTATAACATAATCCATCAAAGGAGAGGTCTTCCCATGGGCTGGTAGCTGGTTAAAAATAACAGAAAACAGGAATTAATGTTTTCCAAGCATCTGCTCTTTAGTTGTTGTTGCTGTTGTTGTTTTTAAACTGATCTTTTGGCCCCGGCCTTGCTACCATTGAAGTCTTGTATATTCCCTCAGGCATAGGAGTCTGGAGGTAGGGTGAACCTGTCAATGTGATTCTGCATTAATATAAGTTGAGTTAAATTGTCCTCGGGTGCCATTATATCATTGTTATTATTGTCTATTTTTATTTCTGCTGGTTTTTTTAATCCTGTGTTTGCCATTCAGAGTCACAACTGCAAGATGGGCAGCTACAAAAATAAAATAATAGCAATCAGTCAGTCAATCGGGAGCAAAATGCTTTTTCTAAACTGGGGGAATGAGCATTAAAATGGCAAATGTTCAAGGTTAACAAGTATAAACTGATGCACCCTCTACACATCAATGCTGGCTGATTGTGATGGCGGTGATTGACCAGGAAAGATATTAGCTCCATGAAAATGTCAACTCAGTGTGCAGTTGCTATAAAAAAAGGTAAATACCATGCCGGAAATCTTTATTTTTTATATGAAAATAAAGATCCACAGAAGCTTCAAAACTGTGCAAACTTCAGACACATACATCTACATTTCCTGTGCACAATCAAAAATGTAGGATTTTAATTCCATTTTGAGAATGCCATTAGATAATCAGGTATGCATTTTGAGAACCAAATATTTTGATAATTACTTATTTCTGTACAAAGTCTTAAGCCATATCAAATGTTGTAGTTATTATTTTTCACACTTCTCTGAATGCCTTCAATTTGTATTTTTCTATTGCTTATATTTGTATATCCAAGTATTATGCAAAATGAAGGCCTGAACCTGTTAAAAAGAACTGAGTGCAAAGGACAAAAGGAATAAAAAAGGGAAGGTTAGTGCTTGCATAATTCTATAATCAGGATATATATGATTTGAAAGGGGACAAGGTACCTGGCCTGAAATTAAAAGTAAGTTACCCTCATAAAATCACATCATTTTTGTGTATGCTATGCAACCAATGACACAGAAAATCCCAAACCAGACACCATATAATTGTTCTCTCAAAAGCATTATTTTTCCTGTCATCTCCTTAAAAAATGTTTGAAATTATAAGCCACGGGAGGAAACTGGCTATTGATTCCCAATTCAGTCATACTGTTCTTTTGCACAACTGGTTTAAAATTTAATTATACATATACTTCGGTAGCTATGGTAGGTCAGGATCTGAAGAATGACTTTAATTTCCCCAAAGATTTGGGTATGTTATATGGAGATTTTTTTACTGCAACAGACCCAAAGCTTTCCTGCTGAGCCACATCACAAACAGCTTCTAATTGTTTCCATATGGTCCAGATTGAATGACTTAAACTTAAGGATTAAATTACTTTGATATTGATACTAAATTGATTCTCTCTGTGTGTGTGGATGGTTTATTCTTTTATATTTATTTTAATCACTATGGGGCATGTAGTTTTTTATGTTGTATAGTCACTAGTATATTTTACTACAGTTGTTATATCTCACCATTAAAATGAAAACAAATGACTTTTAATAGTTCCTTTAGTGTCATCTGTTTGCTCTATGGTATAAAGAAATGGGTGTCATCTAGATTGTTGTATATCTGTGTGAAAATACAAATTCATAGGTTGGTGATAGTTGCATGATATACTCCTGTGAATTTTGTGTTTACTTACAATTCTTCTACAGCATTGTGTGACTATTGGTGGTTTAGAATGGAGAATGGCTACATTAACAGAATCTTGCAAGAAATTTCTAAGTTTCTTTCTCTGCCCATTACTCAGTTGTGGGTTCTCCCCCTTTTATCAGATCATCCCTAGGCAGCATCTCTTCCCCCCCCATCTTCCAAGGTCATTCTCACATTCCATTACAGGTGTAGTGGTAAAGGTCCTGGCCTAGAAGCCAGGAGACTGTGAGTTCTATGCCTGCCTTAGGCATGAAAGCCAGCTGGGTGACTTCGGGCCAGTCACTCTCTCTCAGCCCAACCCACCTCATAGGGTGTTGTTCTGGGAAAAACAGGAGGCAAGCAGGAGTATTAGGTATGTTTGCCACTTGGGTTATATATAATAAAGGTGGGATAAAAATACAACAACAACAACCCCTTTTTTTCTGGTGCTCTCTACTAATAGTAGTAATCAGATCCCAATGCTGTTTCCACAGCCATTCTAAAAGAAAGTCTCTCTCTCTCTCTCTCTCTCTCTCTCTCTCTCTCTCATATATTCAAGGGAAAGGGTTACACTGGAGAAATGCTGCTGCCACGACCTCCATCTCTTAGATGGAAGTGACATAAGCATAACTTCCTGGGATAAACTTATAGGACCAATGGGTATACTGGAAGGAGATAATCTTGGAGATACCTGGGAGCTAAACCAATTGGGTCAAAGCTAGTATTTTGAATTATACCTGGAAGCCTATTAGAAGCCAATGCAGCAACTACCATGAATGAATTTGGTGAAAACTTGTGCAGGATTTCAAAAGACTGGGATCCAGAGGAAAAAGTTATTCTGTTACACATCATGAATAGACAAGTGGGAACAAAGTAAAAGAGTACAGGCAAAGTGATTGAAATAGTCCTCTGAATGAATGAAAATTATTATTGCTTGGTGAATAATATCTGCTTAAAAAAAGTTTATTTGTTTCAAATATATGGCTGAAATATGAAACCCACTTCTGTGTACACATGGCGAAGGAATAAATCTAAAAGGATGACTGATTTGTCTATGATAAAAGTCTAAGAGAATTGATAATGAACACAAGAGTGATGGCAGGTTCTGAGTGAAGGACAGGCTGTTATTTAATAGCATCAAGAGCAGATCTTAGGAAAAAATGGACAAGAAAGAAAAGGAAAGATGTGAAAGAAATGAGACTGAAAGTAGAGCAATGGCAGAGAGACGAAGTATGAATCCTATAT